AAATTTAAAAAAAAATCTTCTTGCAAATCAACAACCCGCAAATAAACACTTCAGACAAAATCTAAGTGGAGGTAGCTAAGTTAAGGGAAGGTGAAGCTTTCACTGGCTTAAGAGATATATTAAGAATTCAGTCTTCGCAACAATCCTAGGAGGCAGATGTCGTTTTTATCCCCATCTTTCATTCGAGATAACTGAGTCACAAGGAGGCTAAGTGCTAGCCCAGGGCGAAAATTCAGACTTGAGGCAGCCTGGCTCTCAAAGTCTGTGTTCTCACTCACAATGCCATAAAAGATACCAAAAACAGAGCCGAGAAGCCAAACAAACCTGGAGCAGGATAAATATAAAGATGTCCACAACTGGACTTACTGAAATGAAACTGCAGGTCATCAAACCAAACCAATGAGATCTTAAAACTGACCAGAGAAAAAACAAGGATTACCTTCAAAGAAGCAACCATTAGACAGACAGCTAACTCCTCAGCAGCAACAACAGAAGCCGCAAGACAGAAAGATACATTTAACCTCTAAGAGAACAGAACTGTCAAGTCTAGAGTTCCATATCCTGAGAAATTAACTCTCAAGACGGAGAGCAAAATAAAGACCTTTTCAAACAAACAAAAGCTGAGAAAATCTGTTACCAGCAAATATCCAGTGCAGGAGACCCTAAAGGGTGGACTGTGAGCAAAAGAAAAGTGATTCCAGAAGAAAGATCTAGGGTGCGAGAAAGGAGGAGAGCAAAAAAAGAGAAATGCACGCAGTAAATGTTAACAGAGTGGGACAGGACAATGCAGCACCCACAGTGACACCTGGTGGGGATGGGGAGAAAACAAGAGCTTAAGCCTGAGGAGTAGTAAGTGAGAAGTATTCCAAGACCAAAAGAGGGAAATAAATGCCATTTACAAATAACATTGTGTGTGTTTGTGTATATAAATTATTGTCAACACAAAATCCCCCAAATCTGTTATTACTAAAAAGTACCAATAGTAATAAGGATTCAGCAAGTTTGATTTAAAAATTATTTAAAAATTGCATTTTGTATACCAGAAACAAACTAGAAAAGAAAACCTTTAAAAAGGTATCACTTTCAACAGCACCAAAATACACTTAAAAATACATCTAAAAATGTGCTGGAAACACTGGATAAAGTTATAAATTTGTAAAACTTTACAGAAAAACAAGACCTAAACAGCAGAGGTCTATACCATGTTCATAGGTTGAAAGATTCAATATTTCAAAGACGTAAATTCTTCCCCAAACTGATCTACAGATTCAATGCAATTCTAATCACAAATTCAACAATTTCAGTAGAATCTGAAAAGCTGATTCTAAATGTCATGGAAATATTAAGAGCTAAAGAAAGCCAGGACCCTCTTGAAGAGGAAAGTTCAAAACTTAATTATACAACCACCATCGTTACGACACTGTGATATAAACCAGTGGGGCAGGACAGAGAGCCCAGAAACAGACCCACACAGAAATGGACAGCTAATCCATGACAGGTGTGGGACAGCACACAAGTGCGGGGAGGAGGGAACTGTCAAAACCAGTGCTGGAGCAACTAACTGCTTCTCCATGTGCAGAAAGGAAACTGGACCCTCCCTCAGCCCAGACCCAAAGATCAATTCCAGATGAAAACCTAAGGAGGAACTACAAAACATCAACTTTCAGAAGAAAAACAGAGCCAAGTATGTTAGTGACCTTGGAGTATGGAGAGATTTCTTAAGCATAAACTGTAACGGAAAGAATGTGATAAATCCCATTAGATTAAAATCAAGAACTGGCCATCAAAAGACACGACTGAAAAAACTGGAACACCACAAGCTTGGGAGGAAAAGTCTGCAATACACACAACCAAAGGTAAGGATTCCCACAAATCAACTAGAAAAAAGGCAAAACAAAAGACAAATGAGTCTAAGACTTAATAGGCACTTTAAAAAAAGGAGGCGGGGAGGTCTGAATGGCCAACAGATGTGAAAAGATGCTCAATTTCGTTAGTGATCAGGGAAATGCAAATTGAAACTACAATTTCAGATCCACAGACTGGCTAAAACGTAAGTACGTCAACATCCCAGGTCGGCAAGAGGAAAGAGAACTCTCAGGCAGCGTGGCAGGAGGGGCACCTGATAAGCTGGAAGACAGTTCGGCACCGCCCTGAGAGCCAGAATGCCACTCCCAGCGGCGCACCTACACAAACTCCCTTTCACGTGCACCGAGGGGTTCGGACGAGAACGGTCGGGGCGACACCAGCCCTCCTAGCAAAACGCTGGGAACAACGCAGCTGTCCGAGAACACGGCCACACGAGCTGCTCCCACCCAGGCAACCTCACAGCAGGGAAAACAAGCGGATGGAACCACACTTCCCAGCACGAGGAAAAGCCGCAAACACGCTGCATGAAGGGAAACATGCAGCGCGATACCATTACAGGGAAGTTCAAAACCCAGCAAAACTAAATGGTACGTCAATTAAGGATGCGTTCATCTCAGTGTCAGGAAAGCGATTCCCTCTCGGGAGAGGGCAGGGGAGGCGATGGAGAGGGGCACGCAGGAGACTAAGTACCGGCAACCTCTGTTCCTTCACCTGAGTGGTGGGTTCACGGACGCTCACTTTATTATTAGTATGTAAACTGGATGCACACATTTACACACGCTACAGATTTCACAATACAGCAAATGTTAAAGACGTGGTTTTACTTGCAACTATCGATCAGGGAACAGCTCGCAGAGACGTTTACGGTAGGAGAGGCCAACACTTACCAGCGCTTCCTCGTAGGGCTTGTATTTCTCCAGCTGCTGCAGTGCCTTGTTATAGCTCTGAATTACCGACTCTGGTATTGGGTCTTCCGACCATTCTTCATACTCTGCAAACGTTGCCTCCATATCTATTGAAAGATGGATTCAGCCCCGTGGGTCTTGCCCCTGGGTTTTATCCCCCCCAACACAGAATAAACCCTGAGACGCAGGTGCCGCTGGCCCCTCCCACATCTGTGGCTGCACAGCTCTTACTAAGCGCATCCTGAGCTCTCGTGCTGAGCCTGACTTGCCCTTAGACTGCCTCAAAGCACCGTCCCAGGCTGCCTTGCAACTGATCAATCAATTAGAGTAAATGAAACTAACAGCCACGCACTAACAAACTCACCTACTGTTAACTTTGTTCTAACACTTCACGTCCATTAACTCATTCACTCCTCACAACTCTATGACGTAGGTTTTACTGAGATCCCCATTTTGCAGTTGAGGAAACACAAGCAGCATCCACAGTTAACGGCAGAGCAAGGCTTTGAACCCAGGCAGTCTGCTCGAGTTCACGCTCCACTCACCACGCGGTACCGCCTCACACTGCTTTGTGAGGTGAGAGCTACAGGCCAGCTCAGTTCTAGCCTGTTTCCCGTGTCACCCAAGGATGCAACTGGAGAGCCACTTTATAACTGACTGCATCAAATCCAAGTAAACCATAAAGTAAAAAGAGAAATAATACCTGGGCTCAGCTAAAGTTGCCCAGAGGTTCAGAGGGCATGTGATGCATGACCCTGCCCGGGACCAAGCCAGACGGCGGCACCCACCTCCTCCTGGGCCCAGAAAACCCTCCCGGCGCTGCTCATGCTGACGCTCAAAGGCTGGGCTTGCCAAAATACGTTCACCCCAAAGGAGAATCCCTCCCCAAGCTCAAGAAACTCAGACAGGAATACTTCTGATCGCCCAGGCTCCTGAACCAAATCACCCACGGACGACTGGCGAGAGCCCACGTAAAACCCCCACTCTACTAGGGAGGTCACTCTCCATGAGAGAAGATGCTTCTAATGGAACTCTTGTTCAATCACGTTTCCCCAGAAAATACAGGGGTCAGTTTGCTTCCCAAGACCCCATCTCTGCCTCCCTCACAACATCTTAACACAGGAAACTGGGAGTCAGGGAGTCAGCTTCCAGGCCTGCCTCTGACCCTCACAACCCTCCGGAGCGTTAACAATTCAAGATACGCCTTGTCCAGGGCGGCACTGCCCAGCGAGGACAAGGAAAGCAGCCCCATCAGCCTCCCGAGATGCGGGGGGAGGCCCAGGCCCTGACGTGCCCCAGCGCGTGTGGGAGCCATGAGGGGCTGGTGCTGGGTCTGCGTCTCTTACCGTAGAGTGGGATCGCCAGCTGTCGCCGGAAGAGACTGTGCACTTTCTCCAGCTGTGAATCAAAGGTTTGTTCCCGGTCAAAAGGGGAAAGGAAGCCAGCTATGGGCTAAAGAAGCAAATTCGGAGTAAATGACAAACTTTGGTTCTTCCTACTTCAAAAAACATTTCAGCAAATATTTAGTTCACAATAAAAAACTCAAAGGACCTCTTATGCATAAGGTGTTGTGCCAAATGCCGCAAGAGGTTCAAAAGTAAATTTCATCACTCTAACTGTTGATGAAGAGGGGAAAGCAAGACACAATCTAAGAAACATAGCCAAAAGACTAGCACCAGGTAGAACCAGAGCATCAGGAGAGCAAAGCGTTCCAAGTATCGAAGTATCGTGGCTTGCCGCGGGCGGGTTCTGAGGGCTCAGTTACTGTTACAGAAGGAGGGACCCAGGAAACACTCCTGGAGGAGCTGGCACCTGGGATGCGCCTGCAGGCTCCCCAGCTAGTGAGAGAAGGAACTCCGGGTCGGAGGAACAGCATGAGTAAAAGTGCAGCGGCAGGAAGTGCAAGAATGCTGAGCAGAGCTCGGGGGCAGAGGACACGGGGGTCCACGCCTGACCGAGAGCGCCTCGCATGTCGGCCCGGCTCAGCCCGATGCCTCCGTCAGGGTGCGGGGAGGGCACCGCCACCCACTGTCCAACAGGGACACAGTCAAGAAGGGACTGGACTACTTTAATAACAATGACCTCACCAGCAGAGGGCCCCGCCTCGTACCAGCAACTGTGCGGTCACGCGCAGAGGAGGAGGGACACTGGGGAGGGGACTGTAAAATTCTACAAATCATAGTCTAGTCTAAAAAATGCAATTATAGCAGGGTCAAATCTCTCACAGTTACTAAGGGGCATGATATCTGTACATATATACACACACA